TTGTTATTTACTTTCCCAGGATTAATTTTATGCAGCAGAAAAAATTTAGTCAAGTTTTAAACGCATGAAACTGACTGTCCCCATTTACCCCAAAATTTAGAAAATTTCATAATATTTGGGGTAAATGGGGACAAATTTTATGAAATTTTCTAAATTTTGGGGTAAATGGGGACAGCATAGTCTCAAATGTTATCTCAATATATTTATTTTCCAAAATTTTACAGCTATTTTTCCAACAAATTTCTGTCTTTCACTTTAAGTGGGAATTTAAAATTTCAGAAATTTACGTGGGACGGCCGTGTGGCTGCTCTACTGGGTTTCTAGTAGTAGGGTCGTGGGTTCGATTTCTCACGACTGTGGGTTTTTTTCCGGGTTGAAAATTCTTCTTCTCCCTCCCTCTCCTTCACTCTCACGCTCTCTCAGTAGCACACACTGTCCCCCTCCCCCTCACACACACTCTCTCTCCTGCGCACTATTTCTTCTCCTCTCTCGCCCCTACCTACCTCCTCAATGAGGAAGGAGGTAAGAGGAGAGAGATAGCATGCGCTACGTAGAAAGAGCGTGAGAGAGAAGGAAAGAGAGGAACTTTGTTGCAAATCCAATAAAGAAGCAACCCACTATTTTTTTTAAAAATTAATTCTACATGGAAAAATAAATATAATTTTTAATTATTAGCTGAAAATATTTATTTTTAAATAAGTTCTATCCATTTATATATAAAATTTCTATCTCTTCAAGTCATTTTTAATTTTATTTCTTTATTAATTTTTTTTTTATTGCCTGTTAGAATTTTTTTTCGTAATTAACACGAAAAAATACGTTTGAATTTCAAATGTAAATTAAATATATTTATTTTTTAAAAAGTTATAGCTATTTTTGCAAAAAATTTCAGTAATTTCAAATATTTTTGTTTTTTTTATTATTTGTTTTAATGTCTATTATAATTTTTTTCGTTATTTTTTTTTCATTCTTTATTAAAAAAAATTACAATTTTTTATAAACGAATTAAGTTTTTTTTAATTTGAATGTGATTTTTTTTAAACATATCTGGAAATAATAAGAAGATTTAGCAAAAAATGTATAGTGGGTTAATAAGTTTTATAGGTTAAAATAAACATTTAAACACCATACGCGCAACATTGTGCACATTTCTGAATAGTAAAAAAAATTCTTAAATTTTTATAAATTATTAAAAAAAATTTTTTTGAAACCTGAAATTTTATTTTTACTATGAAAAATGAAAAAAAATTTTTTTAACAATTTAACAATTTTTTTTACTTTTCAGAAATGTGCACAATGCTGCGCGCAGTGTTTAAATGTTTATTTAAACCTATCAAACCTACCCCCCTCTCTAATTTGTTTTGCAAAATCTTAATATTTCCAGGTATGTTTAAAAAAAAAATTTATTTATAAATCATATCCAAATTTAAAAAACTTAATTTGTTTATAAAAAATTTTTATTTTTTAATAAAAAATGAAAAGAAAATTATTTGTTAACATTATTGAAAAGTAAAAGAAAAACTGAAACTTTTCTTCTCTTGGCGAAAATGAAAGAAATTCATTTTTTTGTCTACATTTACAAAACTAAAATTCTGAAAATTTATAACTCGAAAAATTGCATAAAAAAGGATCTCTTTTTTTTTACTACAGAACAAGAGAAAATTAGATTTGGCTGGAATTAAAGGGTTAACTGAAATCACACTTGAAATCACCCATATGTTTAAGAAACAAAATTTTAATTATAAATTTATAAATAAATAGTATAAATAGTATAATAATACTATTTCCCTAAATACACAAATTTTGTCACATATTTTCACAATCACTACCGCAATTTATTTCTGAAATTCATTTTTTTATTTTTCACAAATATATCCGGATGATATTGCCTAAATATGTATTTTTAACAATTTAGAAATATTTCATTTCGATATTTCTAGAATTTTAATTAATAATCTTTTCAAAATATTTCACTTAAAAATTTGTAACATATTTCATTTTTTTATTTTGCAAATATTAAAAAATAATATGTCAGTAATTTTTCATCCTCACATTTCCTGAACATTTCGCTGAAATTTTTCGTACAATCGGAACTGCAATATTTCTTATAGGCGGACATTTCATTGTTGCATCAAAATTTCATGGACCTTTCATTGAAATATTTCGAATCTTTCAATGAAATATTCAGGACAAATTCAGGAAATTTTATGTGCTGTGTGGGTAGATATAATGTTTTAAGAAGTAAAATATGTTATTGTTTATAAAAATTGGATAAAAATTGCAATTTCCATCAATTTAAAAATTTCAGTTCTTTAAATTATGAGTTTTTATAAATAAACAATTTGGTAAATACAATTTATTTATTGCGTTTACAAAGCCAGCATCCAAATCGAAATTGTAGCAATTCTTGCTCTAATATTTCTTCTAATGTCTTTTTATTTCCTTACTGCATACGTGACCAGGAAACAAAGTCTTACAATTAATTCTGGACATATAATATCTCTTATACTGAGAAATTATTATTATATAGAAAGTTGAAAAAGCAATACAAAATTTATTGTCAATTAGTTAATTGAAAACGAGAATTCAATTTCAAACTATCTATAATCATAACTATTAAAATAATTATGTTAATATAAATCGGAATAAGTATTTTTTATTACAAATATATATATATATATATATATATATAAATATTGTTATGTCATATTTTAAATAAATTTTAATTTTAACTAAGCTGAACTTATAATTGTTCCATATGTGACGTTCCATGAGGAAAGGGACCTTAGCTGCAATAGACGCATTTTCCAGAAAAGGTATTTAAAGTAGAGCGTCCCTGATTGGTTGAGACCCTCCATCGAAAATCAGCCCCACCACCTTACTACTACATCGTTCCTACAGCTCACGCTTACGACAGTATACTAGTAGTAGTAGTGGTGGGGATGGTTTCTGTAGTCCGTGCTGGAACGCGATTAACATGGTCATGATTAATGCTTTATAACAAAAAAACTAAATAGAAAAGTACAATTTTTAACTTTTGTATCTGAAAGAGCAACTCAAGATCTATCGACTGATATCAAAAACTCAATTTTCATTTTTTTGCAGCTAAGGTCCCTTTCCTCATGGAACGTCACATATTCTAATTTCCTCAATTTAACTTAGCTAAAATATAGAATGTTCTCAACAATTAGTGTTATACAATCAAATAAATCCTTATGTTTTAACGTTTGGTATGGTTACCTTTAGGATGTAAAATTGAGGAGTCTTCAATTAGCACCTGTTGTATTGACCTCCTATGATTGGATCTTCTTGGTCGTTAAGATTTTTATTACCGCACGTAACCACTGAGAACTATGATAATTTTGGAAACTGTATCTAACACTTGCTATGACGAATTTCGTGTGTATAATTTGGGACTGTTTTCGTAGTGAAAGGTCTCTTTTTATATAGGTATATTTTCCAATGTATTTCTCGCGGCACTTATTCATAAATATATTTGTTTATTTATAAATAATTGTTTATTTACAAATATTTGTTTATTTAAAAACAATTATTTATTTATTTATTTAAAAAAAATTAAGTTTACATAAATATTATAAAAAAATGTTATGGTGACGTGACAGGATCAGTTCAGAAATTTTGCCTCATATATCTTTTCATATATGTATATATGTGACGTTCCATGAGGAAAGGGACCTTAGCTGCAGAAAAATGAAAATTGAGTTTTTGATATCAGTCGATAGATCTTGAGTTGCTCTTTCAGATACAAAAGTTAAAAATTGTACTTTTCTATTTAGTTTTTTTGTTATAAAGCATTAATCATGACCATGTTAATCGCGTTCCAGCACGGACTACAGAAACCATCCCCACCACTACTACTACTAGTATACTGTCGTAAGCGTGAGCTGTAGGAACGATGTAGTAGTAAGGTGGTGGGGCTGATTTTCGATGGAGGGTCTCAACCAATCAGGGACGCTCTACTTTAAATACCTTTTCTGGAAAATGCGTCTATTGCAGCTAAGGTCCCTTTCCTCATGGAACGTCACATATATTGTATCACCGACCGACACAATTTTTAACTCACAAAAAAATTTAACATTTTCGGAAATTAGGACTCAAAAAAAATACCCGTCTCTGACCGTTTTGATAAATCAAGTCGTTTGTGGTTTTTAGAGGTGAAAACAACCTCTAAATGAAAATTGAAAAGTGACAAGATATCTTTTAAAAATTATTAATATTTTATAAAACTTGGTATCTGGGGGTTTTCGGGGTCACTGATTATTAATCTGATGTCAGATTTTCAAAATTCAAAATGGCGGATGAAATATGGCGATCAAATTTTTAAAAAGTTATTAACTTTTTATTTTATATCTGCCATTTTCAATTTTTAAAATTTAACATCAGATTCATCATCAGCGACCCAAAAAACCCCTAGATACCAAGAATTAAAAAAAAATTCAATAACTTTATAAAATGTTGACCGCCATATTGAATCCGCCATTTTGAATTTTGAAAATATGACATCAGATTAATAATCAGCGACCCCGAAAACCCCCAGATACCAAGTTTTATAAAATATTAATAATTTTTAAAAGATATCTTGTCACTTTTTATTTAGGGGCTGTTTTTACCCCTAAAAACCACAAACCACTTGATCTAGCAAAACAGCCGGACACGGGTATTTTTTTTTGGGTCCTACTTTCCGAAAATGTTGGATTTTTTTGTTTTGGTCAAAAAAAAAGTTAAATTATGTCGGACGGTGTATTACTTTTTTTTAAATTAAAAAAAAAATATCTTTCAATTAAAGTTAAATATATAAATTTTTACGATAATTTTGTACGACTATTAATAAAATTGTGAGGTTTAAAAAACAGTAAACGACTTTACCAGCTCGGGATAAAGTATGAAGAATACAACGTATAAGTACCGCAAATAATCGCAATACTGATATTTCGCTACTTGCTCGAAAATATTATGAGTTCAAAAACCTGTTTGTCTACAGCAAGTCTGTAGTATGTGGTTGCAGACTCTTTGTGATGCTTCCTCAGTTCAATTGTTTTTATCATTATACTCTAAAAACAATAAAAGAAAGACTAATATACATGTATATCTCTACAAGAGTATTTTATCATTATTTAATAAATTCCATTCAAAGAGTATAAGAGATTTTTCTTTTAGAATGCCATAACAATTTTTAAATATATATATTATTTGAATATTTTGTTATTGTATTTTTTAACGCCCTTGGCGTTTTATTCAATTATGCGCATTGAAAAAGTTTAATTAAAATGAAATTCATAGAAGCAAAAGTTGTAACATTAGGCCAATGGGGTGAGTTTATTTATTGTTGAACTATTTTAATGATAGATTTTCTGTTGATGAAACCAAAAAAAAAAAAAATATTCTGAAATTAAAAATTTTATTTGATTCAAATAATCGGTTACTTGACTATTATTAAATAAATATTAACTTGAACCAAATAATTTTTATTTTGAATTAAATAAATTGCATTTGAACTAATAATTTCTGTATTTGATACAAATACCATTTAATTGACTCAAGTAATATAATGATTTGATAAAAATAAATATTTATTTTATATCAAGTAACCGATTATTCGAATCAAATAATTTTTTTTACAGTGTATTAAATACTAAAAATGTATTCTAATTTATTAAGAATATTACATAATGAATTTAAATATTAAATATTCTAAAAAAAAAAATCCCAAGTATATTTATTCTAAATTGCAGAATATTTTTTTTTCGCCGGAGACATTTTTTAATTATAATTATTTTTAGAATTCAAAAACTTTTTATATTTTACATGAAATACAAAAATTGGTGATATCGTTAATAGTTCATTGAGATTTTATTAAAAAAAAAAATATCATTTACTTTATAAAAAATTGGAATTACTTTGTAAATAATCAACGCTTTTTAATATTCTAAGGCTTATTTTAAAGGTGATTTTCTACTAAATGAAAATTACTTGTAAGCATTATTGTTTTGTTCGAAAAAATGATTTCACATTTTTGTGGTCCAAGTTAAAATTAAAAATTTTAAAAAAAAAAAATTTCCACTCTTCAAAAATTAAGTGGTCCCACAATTCTGACCAGTATAGTGTAAGTCAAATAAATGTTTCTTCTAAGTGTTAGATACTGATTACATAAATAGCAATTCATCATTCCTTATCGCGTACTCGCGAAAAACTCTAAGCTATCGTTTCTTATTATGAGTATTAAATTAGGGGTCTTTTTTCTTTTTGTTCGTCTGTTGTTTTCTTTTCGATCAAGGAATGCAATACGGAGTTGAATGAGTCACGGAATTTTCTTTAAAAATATATATATACTTTTTTTTATTACAAAAATTTTTAGAATTTTAAATAATAAAACATTTCTGAAAACCTTTCTTAAAAAATTATTTTTTTTCTATTAATAAATGCAAAATAGACAAGTGTTTAAATTTTATTAAAAGTAGTTTATAGTTAATTTAGAATTTTTTAAAGTGATAAGTAATTTTGCAAAGGAATAGTAATCACAGAATTAATTAATAAATTTTAAGCATTAAAAAATATTTTTTTTTTTATTATTAATAAAAGAAATAGTCAAATTCCTATGTTATTTTATTTTAAAGACATAATTCTAACTGTTTACAATGAGGTATACACTAAAATAACATAATTTTTTTTTTTTAGGTGTTGGAAAATCTGCCGTAGTTCAAAGATATGTCAAAAAATCATTTGAACCTGCCTATAGAAATACAATTGGAACATGTTTTCTCTTTTGTAAATTAAATATTGAAGACATAAATCTGACATTACAAGTGAGATGAAATTTTGTACTTAAAAAAAATTATATTGATCTTTTTTCTTATGTTGATAAAATAAATATTTCATTTAAGGGTGAAAATTTCCCAACTGGGCCACTCTCTAAATCTGAATTAGTAAAAAAGTTTACTAATTTGAATTAGTGACTCACATTTTGCTTCTCAATTAGTAAAATTTTACTAATTATTAGTAATTATTAGTTAGTAAAAGTTACTTATAATTAGTAAAATTTTACTAATTGAGAAGCAAAAAGTGAGTCACGAATTCAAATTAGTAAACTTTTTTACTAATTCAGATTTAGAGAGCACCTAAAACTGACTTTTCAAATTTAAAATATATTTTTTCATAATCTATGCCAAATTAAAAACATTCCTGAAATGCGTTTTTAAAAAAATTAATTTTTTAATTATTTATTAACAATTGAATATTTTGTTACCTTTTCACTAAATTTGCAATTACTCTGTTGCTTGTTAATGAAATTTAATAAAATTTGGTGAGAATATAGAAAAATTATATTTCTTTGAAATACAATAGAAATTTCAATTAATCTTCATTGTTTATGCAAAAAAAATTGTTTATTTAATAAACAAATGAATATTTAAACTATTTCTCATATGTTTAGGAAAAAATTTCAAAAACGACATAAATCTACAACTTTCTCAACTTTAATTTTAAAAAAAAAATAATAATTTAGCTAAATAAAAATTTGGTTTAGCGAAAATTTAATTAAATAAGAATTTGGTTAAATAAAAATTCAGCTATTGAAAAATTTGTTTCTACGTTAAATTAATTTTCTAAAATTCAAACTTAGTACACATTGAGCGTACAAATTAAAATCTTTTCGATGAAATAACAAATTCATAAAATTAAATTTGTTCTTATATTTATAAGAAATAAAATTTTTTTTTAAAATTATAAATTAAATTATTAAATTATTATAAATTATAATTATTAATTATTAAAATTAAATTAAATTTGTTCTTATATTTATAAGAATAAAATTTAATTTTATGAATTTGTTATTTCATCGAAAAGATTTTAATTGGGACGCTCAATGTGTACTAAGTTTGAATTTTAGAAAATTAATTTAACGTAGAACCAAATTTTTCAATAGCTGAATTTTTATTTAACCGAATTTTTTTTAATAGAATTTTTATTAAAGCCTAATTTTTATTTAACCAAATTCTTATTTAATTAAATTTTCGCTAAAACAAATTTTTATTCAGTCAAATTAGTATTAGTATAAATTAGTATCACTAGAGAAAATTGTACATTGGAATGTAAAATTTTCTCTAGTGATACTAATTCTGTTACTTGCAAAATAACATAAACAAGAAGGAATTATAAATTATTTTCAATTAAAAAAAAATTTTGTAAACTTAGAAAAAAGAATTCTTAATTTAAATATAGAGTTAAGTTAATTAGAGTTAATATAGAGTTAGTTAATTACTTGATTGAAAATTATAATAATGTTTAATTTAAAATTAACGGTTAGTTTAGAATAGGCGCGTCAATTTCCACCAAAAATGCAGTAGAACGTCCGAAATGTGACATATCTTTATATTTTTTTGCACATGCCCTACACTACTTTTTCTCTCTTCTAGTTCCTCACCCTGTATCGAAAAAAGCTACCATTCCCTGAAAACTGTCACAATTCGGATATTCCACTAAATTTTTTTATATTTTATTGTCAATAATGACTAAATTACTTTTCGTGTATCGTTTGAAGATGATTTTAAGTTAATAAAATAATGTACAAGATGAACCAACGAAATAATTTTCATTTAAACTTAACTACATATCAACAATATATCTATAACAAAATTAATATGTTCACTTTTAAAAATCGGACTTCAACTTTACACTAGAAAAATTGCATTTATATAGTTTCAATCTCGAAAAGTGCGAATGTTTTTATTTCATTGACTTAAAGTTTTTTTATCCAACCAATGACATGCAAAAATTCACATTTTTCAAGATTGAAAATATATTATTTCAATTTTTTTAGTGTAAAGATGAATTCACAATTTTTAACAGTGTTTCAATGTAAGATATTTTATCAACAAAAATGTATATCATTGAATTAAAATAAAATAAAAATAAAAACCGTTAAATTATGAATTTTATAATCTTCTTATAGATTTGGGATACATCAGGAGAAGAAAGATACAAAGCAATATTGCCAATGTACTATAGAGCTGGAAATGCAATTTTATTGATTTTCGATTTAACATCATATGAATCGTTCACAAAAACAAAAACACTTATTTCTGAATTAAACAAATATTGCGAAAATCATGTCGTTCTGCTTTTAATAGGCAACAAACTTGATTTGATAGAAAGGCGAGAAGTGTCCGAAAAAGAAGCAAAAGAATTTGCTTCTTCAATTGATGTTTCATATTATGAAGTATCAGCATTAACAAATTATGGAATTGATGATGTTTTTCAGAAGGTAGCTTCTGAATTGGTTAATTTAATTAAACAAGGGAAAAAGACAAGTATGAATTTTTATCAATGTGAAAAATTAGTTGATAGAAGTCAAAAGCAAATTATAAAAGTGCTAAGTGATTCAAATCAAGTGAACGAAAAAAAAAGGAAGAAAAAATGTTCCTGCCAATAATTAATTATTTATAATTCTTTTTATAGTTTTATATATATTACAATTATTTTGTATTTTTATATAACATTGCGTTAATTTTTTATATAAAATTATATAGGTTAGTATTTTTTTTTTTTTACTAAGAAGGGAAATTCCATAAATTTTTTAATATTTTATTTTTTATCAATTTTTAAATAATTATTTTATGCAAAACTTGTTAGGTTATATGTATATCTATAATATAATTATAGATGATACTATTCGTTATTTTACTGATATAGTTAAAATTAATAGAATTTTTAAACATTAAAAACTGAAGATTTTAATCGTTATGTTTCAAATGATACACGTACATATAGAAAAGCTGGGGTTATTTATATGATTTTTTGGGCATGAAACCTTTTGGTACAATTTACTTAACAATAAATTTAGATATAAAAAACTAAAACTAATTAACTAATATTGAAGGATTATAAGCATAAAATTGAATAAGATAATTAAAATTAAAAAGTTCAAAATTTCGGTAAAAGTAATATGTTACAACTTAACAACCAACCCCTAACTCATCTAACAAAGTTCAATTCTGTTTTAAGGGGAGTCATAATCTTCATTTTGAATCATTTACATTTTAATGATCGTAGGAAGATATATGTTTTTTCTTGCATCATTTGGGTCCCTAAAAACATACAGGATGGTCAAAAAAATAAAATTTTAATTTTTGACAATTTTAGAAATTAATTTCTTAAAAAAAAATTAATATTTTAAATATCTATCTTCTTTTTCAATTTTAACTATTTTTCATCGACAATTTTTTTAATGATTCTTAAGAATCTCTCGCATGGATTTTCAAAAAATTTTAATCTTTTCAAGAAAAAAAAGAAAATATCAATTAAAACATCATTGCAATCTTCTATTAAATATGTATATTTCTTTCACAATTTTAAATATTTTTCATTGTCAAATTTTTTCCACACTTTTTTACTGATTCTTTAGAATCTCTCGCATGGATTTTCAAAAATATTAATTTTTTCAAAAAATAAAAATTTTAAAATGGTCAAAAATTAAAATTTTCTTTTTTTGACCACCTTATATGTTTTTCAGAACCCAAATGATTCAAGAAAAAAAATATAACCTCGTTTAATAATTTAAATTTAAGTGGGTCAAAATAAAGGTTGTGACTCCCCTTAAGTTAAAGAAAAACGTAATAATCAGTTTTTAAATTGAATGCAAAATAAAAAAAGAACACTTGTATTATATTATTGTAAAAAATTTATGGAAAATCTACATTTTAAGGGTATGTGGGCAAAGGACGTTTTTTTATGGTTTGAAACTTTCTCTGAAATAAAAAATGATTTCGGATTAAAATTTTGGACAAATGATTTTGTTTGGTACAAGGAATCTCGCTGTTCTACTCATTTACCATAACTTAACGCAAAAATAATAAAAATAAAGCAATAAATAGTAAAAAAATGTATTATATCGTAGTTCATTCAGCGGCCACTTGTTCAAATTGGCGCTGTTTACTGGAGCACTGACGAACTCAAGCAACGTCTGTGTATGCGCCGCCATGTTTCTTTCTATTTTCGTTTAAAAATCACACTTTTTAAACTTCATTTTTTAATAATTCAACGCAAAATTATGTATTTTTCGGAGAACAGCGAGATTCCTTGTACCCTAATCTATCATCCCTCAAAATTTTAGACAAAAATCTTTTTTTATTTTAGAGTAAGATGTATACTACCAAAACTTGGTCACGTGAGAGGTTCCCACATACCCTTAAATTTTATGTTCATTTAAAATATATATTTTTTTTAATTTCTTTTGAAATTTTTACAAAATTTACTGAAAAGTATTACATATTGTATAGGTATACCAGTATTTTCATAACCAGGATTCTATTTAAAAAAAATACACAAAATAACTTTTATAAATTATATATACGAAATGTGAAGAAATATTTTTATAAACAATTTTTTTAAATCTTTTATTATTTGTAATTTATAAAACAAACTATATATATAAAATCTAAAAGCGTATCAATAATTGATACTTATTATTGTAGTTTTTTATAATTTCGTAAATTATATATAAAAATATTTATAGCTTCAAGAAATTTTTATTAGATCGAAACCAAAATTTTAATATATATACATATTAGGCTTAACGACTGAAAACGCTCATTAAGCAAAAAAGTGGACGACAACGTGAAATTCGTGTTGTGCAATATATTTTTCAGTTCGGCTTCCATAACTTAAATGAAGCAACAATTAAAAACAATTTATGTCAAATTTTTTATTTCTTTTTAGTTATGGAAACCTCAGATATATATAATATTATAATTATTGTATGTATTAATTATTAAAATCCTGGTATAGGCTCAACAAAACGATAATTATGCGCAATGTGATCATTTTTATTTCAACATTTTTAATTAAACTTAATTTGTACTCTTATAAAATATATATCTGTGATCTTTTGAATAATGTACATCTATATGCATTACTATACATTTTATAAATGTTCATTTTAAATTGTTATAATAAAAAAATGTAATTCATTAATATTATAAATATGATGAATGAACATTCCTCATATTAGACCTTTCAGAATTTTTGTAAAGTAAAAAATATCGAATTTTTATTTAGCAGAATTTTATAAAGTAGATTTTATAATAAATCAAGTTTTAATATCGAAGAATTTCTATATATATATAATTAAATTCTAATTAAATAGAATTTCTATTTAAATAAACTTTTACATAACAGATTTTCAAATACATTGAATTTATGCAAATAATACAATTTCTATTTAACCAAATTTATGTCTAGCAAAATTTTCACAAAGAAGACTTTTTATTTATTTTTGTTTTTTATCGAATTTTTATTTATTCGAATATTAATTTAAAAATCATTTAAGTAACTTCATTTAATATAGTTTATTTATTAAATTCAATAAAAAAATGTAATGAATTTTCATTAAATTTGATTAAAAAAAGTTTTTAGGGCTGCTGAATAAAAATCTAAAACAGACGTTTAAAATTAAAAATGGCGGATTCAATATGGAGGAAGAACCTAAATTTTTTTTTGTAAATTGATGAAATTGTTTGAATCTCGCTACTCGGAGGGTCTTTGCGGTCGTTGAATACGAATCTGAAGTCAGATTTTTAAATTTCAGAAAAAATTAACGACTTTTAATAAAATTGTAAAATTTTAAAAAGTGTAAACGACTTTACCAGCGCGGGATAAAGAATGAAGATTAGTACGTATAAGTACGGCAAATAATCGCAATACTGATATTTCTCTACTTGCTAAGAAATATTATGAGTTGAAAAACCTATTCGTCTGCAGCAAGTCTGTAGTTCAGATATACTGTAGTTACAGTCCTTTTGTGTAGCTTGCTCAGTTCAATGTATAAATAATAAATGTATATGAGAGTTTTTTCTCTTCTTAGAATGCCATAACAATTTTTAAATAATATTTGAATATTTTCTTACTGTATTTTGAAACTTTATTTTCATTTTTTGTATTTAAATAATTTAGTTCAAATGAAATTTTTAGAAGCAAAAGTTGTAACATTAGGCCAATGGGGTGAGTTTATTTATTGTTTAATTATTTTAATGATGATACATTTTCTGTTGACGAAACAATGCAGTGATTCGACTAAGGCTGAGTACGATTGAGTGCGAGAGGTTAAGGCGAATTTAGTGTTTTTATTATTATCATAGTGTCTGCAAGAAAGTTTAATTAAAAAGGAAGCGTCTTAAGTATATAAACATTATTATAGAAATAAATTATTACAAATTTTTTATTTTAAAATTAACTGTAGTGATTAAGTGAGAAAAGTCGTTTGTTTCAATTTCTCGACATAAGAAAAAGTGGATTTATCATAAGTTTTGAAAACTTGCTCCTCATTTTTTTTGTTAGAAAATTATTGAAGGATGAATTTATTTACATAGAAGTTATACTAATTTATACAATAATGTTCCGCGAATTTAATGTATTCGGAGGAGAATATAACCTATAAGAAATACTCTACCAAATATATATTATCCCCATATAGTATACATAATTTGGTCACTCAACAGTTTTTAAGAAATGTACCTCAAACTTGTAGAATTAACAAATTTTAATGCCAATGATTCTACAAATTTCTCTATTTGGAGAAACATCAGTAGATGGTATACACTAAAATAACAAAAATTTTTTTAGGTGTTGGAAAAACTGCCGTAACTCAAAGATATGTCAACAAAACATTTGAATCTGGCTATAGAAGTACAATTGGAGCATGTTTTCTATGTTGTAAATTAAATATTGAAGACATAAATCTGACATTACAAGTGAGATGAAATTTCGTACTTAAAAAAAAAAATTAAAGGAATCTTTCTTTCTTAATGTTGACAGGATAAATATTTCATTTAAAAATATAGATATTATTATTTTGAATACAGTTTATATGAAGTGAAAATTTTGAATGTTCAAATAAAAAAAAATATTTTTTTAATATTAACTACTATTTCCCTATATCATGAATCAAATAAAATTTATATGTTTAAATAAAAGATATTTTAACAAAAAAAAATGTATTATTGAATTAATCGAAAATATGTTTCATAATCTTCTTATAGATTTGGGATACAGCAGGACAAGAAAAATTCAAAGCGATAGTGCCAATTTACTATAGATCTGGAAATGCAATTTTATTAATTTTTGATTTAACATCATATGAATCGTTCACAAAAATAAAAACACTCATTTCTGAATTAAAAAGAGAATGCAAAAAACATGTCGTTGTGATTTTAATAGGCAATAAACTTGATTTGATAGAAAGGCGAGAAGTGTCCGAAAAAGAAGCAAAAGAATTTGCTTCTTCAATTAATGTTTCATATTATGAAGTATCAGCATTAACAGGTTATGGAATTGATGATGTTTTTCAGAAGGTAGCTTCTGAATTGGTTAATTTAATTAAACAAGGGAAGAAGACAAGCATGAAGTTTTATGAAACTGATTTATTAGTTAATAGAAGTCAAAAGCAAATTATAAAAGTGCTAAGTGATTCAAATCAAGTGAACGAAAAAAAAAGGAAGAAAAAATGTTCCTGCCAATAATTAATTATTATTATTATCCTTTTTATAGTCATATATTTCAATGATTTCATATTTTAACATAACATTGTGTTAATTTTTTATATAAAATTATGTAGGTTAGTATTTTTTTTTTACTAAAATGGGTGGAGACTTTTGGCTACCGAGTACGATAATCGAATCGGTCCAATGGGTAATTTCAAACGTTTTTTAATATTTTATTTTTTATCAAGTTTTAACAAGTAGAGACCTATTTTTTAAATTTTATAATGTTCACACACACAAAATAGTTTTTATAAATAATTTTTATAAATTATATATATATATATATATATATATATATATACATATTAGACTCAATAACCGAAAACGCTCATTTAGCAAAAAAGTGGACGACAACGTGAAATTCGTGTTGTGCAATATATTTTTCAGTTCGGCTTCCATAACTAAAATGAAGCAACAATCAAAAACAATTTATGTCAAATTTTTTATTTCTTTTTAGTTATGGAAACCTCAGATATATAATATTATAATTATTGTATGTATTAATTATTAAAATCCTGGTATAGGCTCAACAAAACAATAATTATGCGCAATGTGATCATTTTTATTTCAACATTTTTAATTAAACTTAATTTGTACTCTTATAATATATATCTGTGAGCTTTTGAATAATGTACATCTATATGCATTACTATACATTTTATAAATGTTCATTTTATATTGTTATAATAAAAAAATGTAATTCATTAATATTATAAATAATGATGCATCAACATTCTTCATATTAGACCTTTCAGAATTTTTTGAAGTAAAAAATATCGAATTTTTATTTAGCAGAATTTTATAAAGTAGATTTTATAATAAATCAAGTTTTAATATCGAAGAATTTCTATATGGGTGATTCTACAAACGAAGGACGAAAATGAAGAAAATATGGACACAACATTTTTTTCTCATTTAAGGTCTGAAAAGTACATTAACTTCAAGTTAATGACACTAAAAAGATATCTTAAAGTGGCCAGATAAAATATTAAAAATTACAAAAGTTATGGTTGTTTCTAAACAATTTATCCAGGAAATTAAGATCGTGTATAGAAAATTCACATTAACACAAAAAATAATTGATGGATTTATACAAAATTTATTACTCGGGGGTTTTCGGGGTACTTCAGCATCGTAATTATATAAATGCCGCACTCTTTTTTTTATAAAGGATGCTGAATTTTTGATTTTCGAACTATTTACATAAATAATTAGTAGGTAGTTAAGAAATCTTATATATTGTTGAAAAAGAAAATAAAATTTTTATCGAATAATCGAATGTCAAACAAAGCTATCGGAGAGCTGATTGAAATTAAAATACAGGATGTGTCGAAGATAACAATCTTTACTCTATCAATATATAGTTAATCGTTTTTAGGGAAATTATTTTCTTAAACAATTTAAATGTAAATTAATTTACAAATGGTAATTATTGAATAATTTAATTTCTATTTTAATATGTAGCTTTCATAAAAATATTGATTTTTTTCAAGGTATTTCTAAAAGTAGAAATAAATGCAATATAGCAAATAAAGACAAATTATTGACGTAACATATATATTCAACACACCATTATGCCTTTATCTTTCCAGAAACACCATATATGCACTTCTTGTCAATATTAACAAAACCCTGGATAAAAATTGTTTTTTAACCTACATCGTATAAATTCAATATTGTTACGAGCATAAAAAATATTTTTCAAATACTTGTAATTTTAGAAAAATAAGTAATATAAATTATAAAAATTTTTAAATAGAAAAAAATTTGCATGATTATCCCATAAAAATCATTAGTTAAAATTTTCATTTACAACAATTTTCTTAGATATAATTATTTTTTTGACGAATTTTTATTTTTCAAATTAACATTTAAAAGAATTTCTTTTTAAAGGCAGGTTAAAGTCAAACCAATTTTTACATAGAGCCTCAATGGGAAAATCGCATCGACTTTGACCTGCCCTTAAACAAATTTTTGTTTAACATTATTCTTATGTATCGAATTTTTATTGTACAGAATTCTTAAAACGCCGAATTTTTATTTGTCTGAAATTTCAAATGGCGGAACAAACAATCGAAAGAAAAATATCGGCGCGATTTTTAAAATTCACCAATCAAAAGTTGTCAAGAAAATCGTGATTGGTGAATTCTAAACATCACCCCAAAATTTTTCTGTCGATTGTTTGTTCGGCCATTTGAAATTTTAAACAAATAAAAATTCGGCGTTTTAAGAATTCTGTACAATAAAAATTCGATACATAAGAATTATGTTAAGTAAACATTTGTTTAATAAGAAATTTTGTCAATTATGTTATTTTGAAAAATAAAAATTCGTCTAAAAAATAATTATATCTAATAAAATTCTTTAAAATGAAAATTTTAACTAATTATTTTTATGGGATAATCATGCGCCTCTTTTAAATCTATAAATTATTAAAATTTATGATGTTAATGTAAAATAAAACAGTAAATTAAACAATTATTAAATTAAATGACTACTTTTTAGATATTTAAAACATCACAGAAAATTAAAAGGCATTAAAATAAGCTGCAACGCTTATTATTTTAATCCAATTTTGCTTATTTTAATCCATTTTGGTATTAAAATAAGCAAAATTGGATTAAAATAATAAGCGTTGCAGTTTATTTTAATACCTTATAATTTTCTGTAATGATGCTGAAGTTACCAACGTTGATTCGACAAATCAACGAACGAATTTTTCGTTTTCAGATTAGTTTAAAGGCCAAGAACCAATTTTTTAAAATTGAAACTTCTTTATTTTGGTCCCACAAACATCCTTAAACACTAAAAATCCTCCAACAAGGCGGGGAAATATTCAATCTTAGGAAAAAAAAATTCTTTTCGTCGATTCAACGTTGGAAACTTCAGTGTCATAAAAATTGTTCGATTTTTATTAAATTTTAAATCCAGAATTTTTTGAATTATTGAAAACTAATCTAAAGTCCAAGTTTTAAAATTCCACAATTTTTAAGATATTTCTTTAAAATAGTCAAATTTTGAAAATCTGTTTTGAAACTCGTAATCTGGTAACTCTAAAAAGAAAAAGTATGGAACGAAACATTTTTTGCACGTATAATTTTGATAAACAGGTTAATTTAAATTAATAAGTTTTTTCAAAATTTGTTCGTCATATTGGATCTGCCATTTTGAATTTTGAAAAACTGACGTCGGATTCGTAATCAGCGACCCCGAAAACCCCCGAGTAACGAATTTTACAAGGATCAATAAAAGGTATCGCTTTAATTAGTAATTTGTTTATATAATTTGTTTATAACAAATTACGTGTGTTCTACTAGAACATAATTTTACAAATCACAAATCTGTAGGAGTACTTTAAGTATCTAATAATAAAATATATTTCGATTTTATTGTGATATTCATACGATTCACAGTAAAAAGGTACTTTTTATTTGTTTATTTATATTAATATAATTATACATTCAAAATGAAAATTAAAGATTGGGGTTTAGCAATATCTTAAAAATTTTGTGAGGATTATTTTAAGTCAAGAAAATAGAAAAATGTTAAAAAATTATTAGTTTTACGCTGTTTTCAGTGCCTAATGCATATCCTGTCTCAAAAGTGCCAGACGAATGAGAATCAGACGAATGAGAATTTGGCAGTTTTTGTTTAAAAATAGGTAGAAACAACATTAAATAAAAAAATAAGCAATTCTATCCGATAGAGAATTCAAAGTTGCAATACATAAGCCTATAAAAGGACCTAAAAATAATATTTTTTTCAAAAAAAATAGATGCCAGACGAATGAGAATTTGTCTGGTCACAACGCAATCTTGGTCACAAATTGAGAAATCTTGGTTAACAGACACGGTGGGTAGGAAGCGACGATAGGTTGAACAAAAGTGTCAAGAAAAACTGAAAGTGGGGTTGTATTTATGGATGATTGTAGGTGAAAAATCCGTTTAGAATGAAATCCTAGCTGCTCCTATTTCAAAGTTATCCACATTTTAATTTTTTTAATAGGATCAATTTTTGAAAAATAGAAAAGGCGCGAACATTTCTTTGTGTTTGTGTGTGTACGTGTAGACATATGTTCACATACGATTTCCACACTTGTAGCCAAATATAGCATCCTTTGTAATTTCCCAATTATAAAATAATAAATATTAAGTGTTGAAAGTCACTAGTAGACGTGGCAAATAACACAGCCCCACAAAAAAAAGTGTCGT